AAACAAACCAATACACATGACAACATGAATAAATCTCAAGAAGCAGTATGCTGAGTTAAAGAGCCAGCTACAAAATTTACATACTATAAGTTCTATTTATATGAAACTCTAGAATAGGAAAATCATCTGTGATGGGAAAATATCTGAATAGTGGCTGCATCTGAGGTGGCAGTCGCAGGGATTAGCTGAGAAGGAATGTGACACAACTTTTGGGGAGTGATGATGACGACCCAAATCTTTCTAAACATTTTTTTATTTGTAATAATAATTATTATTTAATTTACTATAGAGCATGTGTGCTCACCAGATAAAGACAGAGAGAGAGAGGGAAAGTGAGAAAACAAGCCACCAGGTCCAGGACTTGAACCATGGCTGGCCAGGAGGGGGTCCAGAGCCTTAACCACCATGCCACCTTCTGGACCCAATGACCCAGATCTTTTTTTGTTTGTTTGTTTTTAGAAATAATTTTTTGCTACAGGGCATGTGCGTTTTCCAGACACACACACACACACACACATACACACACACACAGAATAAGAAATCACTCCCCAGGGGTGATGGTCACACCATAATGTCTTCTCCGTCATTCTCCTCTCAGGATTTTGGGTACACATGCAGACATGCCTGGCATGAGTTTCAAGCCGCCAGGTCCCTCTCTCGAACTGCAGTTGGCTATGTGGGAGTCCAGTGACATAATCATTATGCCAGATCTCAGTAAGAGTTTTGGGGGCTGGTGGCAGGAAAATGCAACACTCTGTGAGGCAGACTCCCAGGGAAAGTTGCCAGTTCACATCTAGAGACCTCCCTGAGCACAGTGGGCACACGTGTGCCCATGGTCTGCCTTGCTGAGGGCGGGCTGTGGTGTCAAAACCCTATCAGGGATACTGTGCCTCTGTCTCTCTCTTTTTCTCATTCATGGAAAAAAAATAAATAAACTGAGAAAAATAGAAGAGTTTTATTACTTTTTTTTTCATTTGGCAAAACAGTGAATACACATTTAAGATTTTTGTGTTTCATTGTATGTGACTTCTGAAAAAGAAGAAAAAGAGGGCCAGTGCATGGCATGGTGACTAAGGTGTCTGGATCTCACATGACTGATTATCCTGTTCAAGCCCCAGACCCAGTGTCTTGAGAAACACGCGTGTGTATATCTGCATGTGGACCCAAAATCCCAAGAGGAAGAGAAACAGAGGAAAAGGGATTATGGCATGAATGTTCCCCACGGGGTCGGAGAGAGTGCCTTTGCATTTTCTCTCTCTTTTTCTGTCTCTCTAGTGAGCACACATGCCTTCTGACAAAATTTTTTTTAAAAGAGGAAGAAAATGGATTGTAACCAAGTACTGAACTCTAGTCAATGATGTTCATGCTGCGTTACTCTGAAATGTGTCAATAAGATAAGGTGGACCCATGAGTAAGTAGTGGGGTTAATACATGGATGTACATGTGTATGCATGTATATATGCAGTAGTGATATGGCAAATACAGTAACATGCAAACAGTAAATCTGCATGGTGGCCAGATAAATGCTTACTGTAAAGTTCTTTCAACTTTGCTGAATGTTTGAAAAAAATTCACAACACAACATTCTAGTGCAAGTCAGAATCTTGACTTTCCTCAACACCCGTGGCCTCCTAGCACCCGGGGGCCGATGAGGGTAGTGAGGGCTTTGGTGGCAGCTCCCTTGGGGAGGGAGAGAAGCAGGCCTCCCTGGCAGAGGCCACGGCAGAATGGAGCAGGGCCATTATGACTCCCCTCAGAGCCTTTCCTTCTTGCCAGGCCTTCCTCCCTCGCCTGGTCTCAGGCAGCCGGTCAGGGCTGTGACCGACACTGCCCCCAGTCCA